CAGTGTGAAGCGGCCTGTAGTTAACATATAGTGCCGATGATCACCATCGAGAGTGAGAGTGATGGTAGAAACGCGCCAGATTACGTCTCCTAGAGAGACGATGAGGATTCACTGCAGGAACGAATACAATGTTTTCATGCTGGAGATGCTTTGTGCGAAATATCCTAGAATTACAAACTACAGTTCAACAAATACTCCAGTATCTGCCATTGCTTCCCTGGAGGTATACAATGGCTAACCATCGTATATACGAGCAAATTACCACGGGATATTTCGCATGCATTTCAGAAGTACTACATTTACACTTTCGTGTGGGTTTCACTCTCCGCTTCTCTGCTGAAGCATTTGTTCTTCTGTAGGATCATCACAATCTCCAGGCCAGCAGCCTCGCGTCGACGCAGTGCCGCCGGGTTTGTCGTTCCTTGGCGTTGTACTGCCGGACACTGCTTTCGGAGTTGTGTTGTGAAACAGCGGGAGATATTACTGAGGGGTCAAGCAGTTGGTTGTTGCTTGATATTTTGGTTTATACTTCAGTAGAACCAGATACTGGCAGCACGTATTCTTTCACGGCTCTGTGATATGCCTCTCTGCACGGGTCGTTGCATAAAGAAGTTCAAGTAGTTTTCCGCTGAACTCCTTCCTTACACACTATTGCTGTCGAAGCTACTGGTGAGATGAGAAACACGAGAGCGACATATGTGTTGTTGTCTAGGCAAGCCTAAAGCGATGGATAGAACAGAAGAGGGGGTTAACAGTGACAAGAGAAGAAAAACAGATAAATCGAATTAAAGACTTCAAAAAGAGCTGCCAGCAAAGCGCACTAAAAAAGGCAGAAGATGATAGCCTTCGCAGGCGCTGTTGTTTTATTTAATTTATTTTATGTAGGGAGCTGGAACGAGTTGCATGGAGGGTAAGTGTTTCCCCTGTTAGTGCCAACGCAAAGAAAGCTGCTACTACAGCTTCTGCTGCGGCGTAAGAGCCGGCGAGGGGTTTTCTTTTGTTCTCAGAGATTCACGTTGCTCAGCTTTCGCAGAAAAACCAGGGGATCCACAGCTACCACTGCTACTGCTGGTGGTGTTTTTGTTGCTGCTGCTGTTGGCTCCATCACTGTTATTCCTGCAGCTTCCGACGCCGTTCATGCTGCCTCCACTGGCGGTGCTGTTGTTGCCGCAGTTGGTACCATTTGTGGTTTGCGCTGAGAGTTCGCTCACCGGAGCAGTCTGCTGCTGCTGCTGCTGCTGCTGCTGCAGTTGCTGTTGCTGTACGTTCTGCTGTTGATGCTGCCCTTGCGTTGCCAGGGCTTTTCCAACTGTATGCTGGTCCTCACAAGACACAGGGTCACTACCATCTACAGTGTAATGAATGCAACACTCTGCATCCACCCGTACACCCAGCTGACGCATCCGGAGGCTGTTACCCCCGCTTGAAGCGCCCAAGCCAGAGAGCTCGATGTAGTGAG